CCAACCCCAACCCCAACCCCAACCCCAAACCCAGAATAGGTGTAATTTAAGCAAAATTTGATTACTCAATTGTTCACTATCCTTATTTGCTATTGATAGGATTATTTTTAGGTTTACATACTTTAATTACTTGTTTAGATTTGAATTAGATTAAGCGAGACTAAATAAATTATAAAACTCAATAGCTTATCAATAAAATATCTTTTTGATCTTGAATGTAATAATTAGATATGTTGAATACATATTTTAAAAAAAATTTTCTTTTATATTTTTATTATATTCTTAAATCTGTAATTTAAAAATTTATACATGAATTATTGAATGATTTTGAGCTTCTACTAAATCTTCATACTTTTATTCTATACTTACATTAAAACCACAATTGAAAACAATAAAGAAGATGGACTCTATCCAAAATAATTTAATAGATTATTTTCTTGTAAATATATCAACAATAAATCACTAATTACCATAAATATAATAAAAAATCTTTAGGTTATTAAGCTATTTAAAAAATATAGAATTTAATGCAAGATCTAATGAGAATTTGAGTTAAAGTTAAATGTATATTTTTTAAATTAAGGCAATCATTTTTTATAAGATTACTTGAACTGTGCACCAATACAAGACTTCTAAATGAGCAAAGTTTTAGTAAAAATAAATGAAGAATGTTTATTGAGTAAAGGAAAATATTTCAAAAAATTAAAAAAATATTTGGAGTAAGAAAATCAAAATATAAAAAGTTAAATAAACGTTAGTATGACTTGATTTCATTATTAATTGAGAGATTAAAAATCTGTAAGGGGAAGTTAAATACTAAAAACAAGATGTCCAATTAATAAACAATTAAAAAATAAGTTTAATCTTAATTAATAATATGAATAAAACATTAAATCTTTATAACAATGTATATCGGTTATAATAGTTCATATGTGTTTCTTGATTAGAATATCTTATAAGAATAATTTATATTAGTAAGAATTTTCTGGATATTTTTATATTGCTGAATCTTAATGTTCCAATGCTTCTTCTAGTCTGTTCAATTTTTATAGAGTAATAGCTAAAATATCAACTATTGTGAAGTATACCTTTGCCATTGTAATGGTGAGAATCATCCGGATTTTTTTACATTGCTGAATCATAATTTTCTAAAGCTTCTTCAAATCTGTTCATTTTATCTAATG